GGGAACCCTGCTGTTAAGATTGGCTCCTTTCTCAGCAGGGGCTTCCTGCCTGACTTACCTGGAAAGTGCCACCAAGCACAGATGCTTGGCCTCATTTAAAACATGACCTTTGGCATAGTTACCTGGAGTAAAAACTACCCCCAGGTTTTTTTCTATATGATAATTAGGCATTTCCCCACAGTTGGATGATAGGATCTCCTGCCACATGTAAATAGAGCATACTGAGCACCTATCAGCTGAAGCATTGGCTGCCGCCTCCACACTGTATTTTCCCTGACCCCCACTGAGTAAACGGAGCTGTATCACTGAGTCTGGAGCTGTTTGTATCACTGAACCTGCCTCCCGAGAAGGGCTTTCTTCCGTCAGTGTTCACTGGCCGTCCCTGACCCTGTTCGTCACTTCTGCTCCCTTTGTCCTCGTGGACCGATGGCTGACAACCCACGAGGGAAGGGAGAGACCCCACAGATCATTCATGTCCTGACAGCTTGAAGACCTGAGTTCCGAACCCCAGTGCCCATGTAAAAGCCGGCAGTGGGTGTGTACCTGTAATCTCAGCAATGAGAAGGGGCAGACAGGCAGATTCCTGGAACTCATCAGTCAGCCATCCTAGGCAAATCCGTGAGCTCCAGGTTCAGTGAAAGACCCTGTCTCAAAAAATAAGGTGGCAGGCTAGCAAGATGGCTCAGCAAGTAAAAGCACTACCCATCAGCCTGTGTTCTATCCCTGGGACCCATGTGGAGGAAGGAGAAAATCGACTCCCACAATTGTCCTGATTCCACACTTATGCCAAAGAATGCATGCTACACAAATAAATCAGTGAATAAATAAGTAAATAAAATAAATAAGTGAGAAATAATAAGATGCAGAGAAACTGAGGGAAGACACCTGATGTCAACATCTGGCCTCCACATGCACAAGTACATTTGTGTACACAGGAACATATATACAAACATCATACTATACACACACAACAGGTTCCAAGCATACGGGCCTGCTAAGCCACCTCACACCAAGGGCCCCTTCTAACCAGCATGGCTTCTTGAAAGCTGACATCTATTTGAGATGGCTCAAAGGACAGGGGATGACAGTGATCCACAGTGGCCTGAGCACCCGAAGCACCGGATCGCAAAGGGTTCTCTTTGTGAGCTCATGATTATGCAAGTAGGAAATGGGACAAAGGTATCAATCTTCACAATGATGCCAAACAGGTACTATACCACCTCCAACTTACAGAGAAGAAAATCAAGGTCCAGAGGAGTTATACTGTGAGGCTAAGGAATGGCCTAAGCCACGCAAAAACCTGCAAGATGCGAGGTGGAACTGGAACGCAGACCATCAGCCTCTGGAGCCAGTGGCTCACTTTTCACATAAAGAACTTCCATCGACAACGTACCAGCCATTCTGCCAGATGCTGGATATGCTGAGCTCATGAGAGAACAGGGCCACACACTGGAAGGTTCCATTGAACAGTAGGCCACCAAAAGCAGAGGCAACAGCCATCTCGGGCCTGTAACCACATCCTGAACTTACATTTTATCTTTGCGTGTGTGTGTGTACATGTGTGTTTGTGTATATACACGTGTGCTCATGTGCAGGTGTGCATCAGGTGTCTGTTGTCACAGTCTACCCTATTTGAAACAGGGTCTGTTGCTTGCTGCATACATCAGGCTAGCTGGCTCACAAGCTTCCATCTCCAGCAGCACTAGGGCTATAGACACAAGCTGCCTTGATTGGTTTTACACTCATTCTAATGCTCTGAACTCAAGTCCTCACACCTGCACAGCAAGCGCTTTACCCACTGGGGCACCTCCCCTGGCTCTACACCAATCTTTAAAGCCCCATTCTTCAACAGCTTTGGAACTGAAAGCAAGTGATCACTCTAAGGGTCTAGGATGGAGACATCATCCAGTGCTACACTGTGCTGCTCCCAAGATAAGGGCTAAATTTTCCACTCTTCCCGGTGCTTTGCTCCTTGGAGGTGTCAGGTGAAGTCTTGTTAAATTTATGGCTTGGATGTGCCAGGTCAGAAGTTTCCTCTTTCAATGTGACTGTTGGCTCAAGTATCCTTAAAGGCACCCCGCCCTGCTAAGTCCACTTTCCAGTGTCCTAGGTTTCTTTGGGTCAAGCACAAGTGACCGCAGTCTTCTTCACCTCTCCACCTCCCTGGGCCGACATGTTCTGCACCTGAAGCTCATCTTAGCCAGGCATCCTGGCTACCCTCCCTTCTGCCAAGGCACCCACTTACAGAAAATAAGCAACTGTAAATCTGGAAGCTAACGGAGGCCCCCGTAAGGTACAATAAGGAAAGCCACACACAAGGGGCTTGTTCATGTATGAAAATGTCCAAAGCTACACAACGTATATGTTGTTAGAAGCTATTTGAAAAAAAAAATATGCATAGACTGGCTAGTCACTAACACCCTGAAACCTGTGTGGTGGTACATGTTTTTAATCCCAGCACTCAGGATGCAAAAGCAGGTGGATCTCTGTAAGATTAAGGCCAGCCTGGTCTACATAGTGAGTTCCAGGCCAGCTGGGGCTACAGAGAGACCCTGTACCAAAAACAAACAAAAAAAGCCCTGCAGATTTAAGCAGTATCTTCTTTATGGAGAGAGCAGCAGTTAGAACACAGGCTCTGGAACCAGAAAACCTGGATAGGAGCTGTCTCTGGAGCTTCTAGGGCTGACTGGCCTTATTAAATTACTCAATTTTGAAGACAGGCGTGGTGGTGCATGCATTTAATCCCAGCACTCAGGAGGCAGAGGCAGGCGGATCTCTGTGAGTTCGAGGCCAGCCTGGTCTCCATAGCGAATCCAGGCCAGCCAGGGCTACAGGGAGACCCTGTCTCAAAAAGACCAAAAAATAAAATAAAATTTAATAAATAAATTACTCAATTTCTTCCTGACACAGCAGGGAGACGGTGGTCACTAAGGTCCAACCTCCCAGGGAGGCTGGAGGCGCTGAGATGAGATAGGTAGAGGTTCTTTTCAAACACTGAAGCCCACACCCTCAGCACACCTGCACCAATAATCAGCGTGGTTCAGACCCTGGTTACCTCCAGTATCCGTGACATGCACTGCCTTTGTCCCCAGGGGGCTCAAGTGCAAGTACTAGAACAGCCACATGGCCAGCCACAAAGCAAACGGAGCAAGGCCCCCCTGAAGGTTTTCCCTCTCTGGAAAAATCAGACCTGACCTTGAGGTCAGGAAATGACCTCTGCCAGGCCAGAACACGGGGTTGGGAGCAAGGTCCTCCCATTTACCTGGCACTGACTACATACATGCCCAGCCACAGGAAAGTAACCTGCTTCAGCTGATTAGAGCTGAAACCCCCCAGCCCCTAAACTGAGGCTGGCAGGGCCCACTGCTGGGCACCGTGCCCCCGCTCTGTGCCCCCACTGCGGTGTGGTACTCAGCTCTAGCACAAACACCAGCTTGCCAGCTCTTCCAACTTAACCTTGAGGCTGCCCTCCCCGCCTTCCAGGGGAAGTGAGCTTGCTCATCAGCTCAGCTTCCTCAGGGGACCCACATCCATCTAAGCAGCACCCAGAGGGCAAGACACTGCGACTCTGCGAAGATTAGAACAATCCTTCACCTCTGTTCACTTTCCAGGCCTGATGACCTGCTCACTCCGCTTCCTGAGCAATAAAACGTTCGAAGGCAAGAGTTCCTCATGACACCTGCTCTCCCCACAACCCAGGCAGGACCCTGGGGAACAGCAGATCTGCGGCCTGTTCCCACGGGGGCACCCACCCATGGGGTCACACTGCTCTCAGGCACTTCCCTGCCACCCTTGTTTGGGTTCGCTCAGCACCTCGGCTGAGTTATCCTCCTGAATCTTGCAAGAGATTGGGCCGAGCCCCTTAGGCGCCCGGGACGGGGGCTGATGCGGGGAGCGGGGGACACGAGCACTTAGGGCTCAAGGGCGGCTAACTGAGCCCCATGCCAATCGCCAGTTCCAGTGTCCCCGCCCGGCTTGCCCGGCTTCCTGGACTGAACCTCCTCAGGATTGCGGCCGCCGCCCTTGGGATGAGTCCAGGAGGCCGGTGGGAGGAGCCGGTGAGGCAGCCGGTTCTGCAGCAGCGCGCGGAGCATCCCAGCCACCGGGTGAGCGGGGGTCCAGGGAGGATGGGGAGGTCCAAGGAGGATAGAGAGGTCCAGGGATAGTGGAGAGGTCAGGGAGGATGGGGAGGGTCAGGGAGGATGGAGAGGTCCAGGGAGAGTGGAGAGGTCAGGGAGGGTGGGGAGGTCCAGGGAGGGTGGCGAGGTCCAGGGAGGGTGGCGAGGTCCAGGGACGGTGGCGAGGTCCAGGGAGGATGGAGAGGTCCAGGGAGGGAGGCGAGGGCCAGGGAGGGTGGCGAGGGCCAGGGAGGGTGGCGAGGGCCAGGGAGGGTGGCGAGGTCCAGGGGCGGTGGCGAGGTCCAGGGAGGATGGAGAGGTCCAGGGAGAGTGGAGAGGTCAGGGAGGGTGGGGAAGTCCAGGGAGGATGGGGAGGTCCAGCGAGGATGGAGAGGTCCAGGGAGGGTGGAAGAGGTCAGGGAGGATGGGGAGGTCCAGGGAGGATGGGGAGGTCCAGGGAGGATGGGGAGGTCCAGGGAGGGTGGCGAGGTCCAGGGACGGTGGCGAGGTCCAGGGAGGATGGGGAGGTCCAAGGAGGGTGGAGAGGTCAGGGAGGATGGGGAGGTCCAGCGAGGGTGGAAGGGGACACGGAGAGGGAGGATGGAGAGGTCCAGGGAGGAGGCCCAAGGAGGGGGTCAAGGATGGAGAGGTCAAGGGAGGGGGGTCCAGGTCGGATGGAGAGGTCTAGGGAGGGCGGAAGGGGACGGGAGAGGACAAGGCAGGCCCGTCGCCCCGCCGGAAGCCAGTAAGGGGTGGAGGCGGCATTCTGGGGATCGTGGGTACCAAGGCCCTCTCAGCCGCCGCGGGTGGGAGCGAGCCGGAAAGGGGCGGTGCGGGCCGATTCCGTGGGCCCGGCACCGCCCGGCGGGCCGCTGGTCTTACCGGCAGATCTGGATGGCGGACGGCGTGTCGGTGGCGGGGCCTGACATCCTGGAGCCGACAGCGGCCGGAGGCGACGGAAGCAGAGCACAGGTGTCCTGCAGGCCCGGCGCGGAATGAATGAGCCCGGGCGGCGCCATGGAGGGGGAGGGCGGAGGCGGGGCCATGGCGCCGGAGAGGCGGCGCCTGCGTGGCGGCGGCGAATCGCACGCGCCCGGCCCTCGGGGGCCCCGCCCCCTGCGGCGCGGGGAGGCCACTGGGCTCCGCTTCCAGAAGGTTCCCCCGCTGTTACGCCCCGCGTGCGGGCGCTGAGGAAGCGCAGTGGGCGGCGGCGGACACTCTCGGGGTCGGAGCGCGGGGCTGCGGGCGGAGGAGCGGAGCTTCTCCCGGCGCGTGCGCGGCCTCGGCTGCGGCCAGGGCGACTCTGGGCGTTCCCTGCGCCGCGCGGCGATTCGCTGCCCGCCCGAGCCGGCCGCTCGGTGAGGTCACCCAGGAAGGCCCGAGCCGGGCACAGTGGGCACCGTGCCCGCCGGCCGCGCCGTGCCCGGGCCCTGCGGGACGGCCGTGCGGGGGCGCAGCGCCCCGTGCACCCGGCCAGGCCAGGCTGGAGCTGACTGGGCCATGCTACGCTGCAGACCCCAGGACACCAGACTCCCCCAAGGACTGCGAACCCTGAGAACCTCCCCCTGTGTCTGCACTGCCCACCTGGTCTCCAGAAAGACACCCTGGGAGCTTACAGTGAGAGCTGGATGCACCTGCTGCTCTGTTTTCTGTGAAGACTAGTCCCCAAAATAGAGTGCATCGAAGTGGGGGGAGGAGGTCATAGAATCTAAAGGAGTAAAATGTGGGAGTCCCCATCTGTTACTACAGAGAACTTCCCCTACGTGTGTAGTTTACCTTATTTCACAGTTCTACACTGAACGTAAATTTGTACTCAGAGTCAAGAAAACAAAACCCACAGAACTCAGTCTCCCATGTGCAACTTGAAGGACCCATTTACACTAAGCCAGGTAACACAGGAGTGCTTGCTCCTGGATCGCCCGCTGGGCATGGAGTGCAGTGTACAGCAGTTAGTTACCAAGTACGTGCCATCCACATCAGCGTTGCCTGGCATTTCACAATTATTTTGTGCAAAGAATTCAATTTTGGATTCTTTGTTTTGTCTTTTTGAGACAGGGTCTCCCTGTAGTCCCAGCTGGCTTGGGACTCACTATGTAGACCAGGTTGGCCTCCAACTCTGTGAGATCCGCCTGCCTCTGCCTCCCTGTGGGGACCTAAAAGCCCCACCTTGCATAGGTCCGAAAGGAAGTTACTGGGGGTGCAGCCTGGCTTGCTTTGAAAGTCTGAAGAATACTTCCACACCGCTGAGGAGTACATGATCTGCACGTGACCATCCTTAAGATACACACTGAGGGGTGGGGGGGAAGTTCCAGGTGCCTTTATAAGCTTTATAACACCTGCAATAAAATGAGTCCCAGTTTGACTAGGCTCCCCGGTGCGTCTGAGAGTCCCTGGGTAATGGGGTCAGTGTGGGCTGGAGAACAGCATGCTTACTCATCCCCAATCCTCACCTCGCTGGGGGTCGCAGGTTTGAACCCCCGGCATCTGGCGCTCAACATGGCATTTGAAGGAAGGTGAAAAGAAGAAAAGAAAGAAGAAGAAAAAATGGATTGGGGCCAATCGAGGAGGTTAGGGGTAAGCAAGACCCTAAAAATAGGTAACACAATTTGTAAGTTTGAAGACCCAGCGCTTAAAGCACTGAGAGATATGCTTAAAAGCAGGGGATTGAATTTGTCAGATCCCATAGCTCAAAAGGTTTGGGCAGAGGTGATTCATTTGGCTTCCTGGCTACTTGGGGCTAATGTTTTTACTGGGGATAGATGGAAATCATAGGAAGAGTTTGAGGAAGAAGGCAGAAATGCAACAGAAGTGAAACCAAAAGTGACCAAAGTAACAAGCAGCACCTCAGGTGTGCCCTGGCCAGCTTCAGAACCTCCCGGGCAGAAGGGCGGAGCAGAACGGAGTGCATGGGGTCCACGGTGAAAGCCACCCACCCCACCCACCTTGAACTAATGCGTGAGCTGGTCGGGAACCCATGGGAAAGCCGGGCAGGGGACTACCCCTGGCCGGTGACTGGCACGAGTCAGGGGCTCAAAAAAATAAATACTTCAGAACCCACCCCCACCCCCACCCCGGCATGGGAATCATGGGAAGGGTTTGAGGAAGAATGCAGAAATGCAGCAGAAGTGAAACCAAAAGCAGTGAAAGTACCAAGGAGAACCTGGGCGTGCCCTGGCCAGCTTCAGGGCTTCCTGAAACCCATGAAAACTGTCCTCACTTCCAGGATTCTGGCCCCGCTCAGGAGGCTTCTGTGAGGCCACGGGTAGAAGCGTATCCTATTAATGTAAACCCAGGAGGCACGCGCCCTGAACCCTGGTATCCCTGGGAGGCAAAGGATTTGAAGGAATTAAAAAAGGCGGTGGCTGAGGAT